TCATTGCACACTTAGCCATTTAATTATATTCATAGGTAGCTACCCAGCCACACCCCGCTTCATGGAAAAATTTTTTTATTAACTTCTGAATGCCAAGTATTGTGCTAAAGAACATATAACTCTAGTCTTGATGCTTGTCAATCAGAAAGAGGCAAGGAAAGGAGGAAGAAAAAGGGAGTGAGAAGAAGGAAGTGAGGCCAGAATGTCAAGTGTGATCTGTTGTGGTCATTTTCTTTCCCCTTGACCAGGTAATTTCTTTGCTAGCTGACCTTGGTCAGACTTTGAAATAAAAGGTACTCTGATTAAATAATTCCCCAGACCCACCTTCACTTTACTCTGCTTTTTAAGATTCTTGTTCAACTCATACTAGTCACCTTTGAGTTGACTCTGACTCAAGGCAACCCCATGTGTGTCAGAGTAGAACTGTGCTCCATAGGATTTTTAATGGCTGATTTTTCAGAAGGAGATTGCCAGGCCTTTCTTCCAAGGTCCCTCTGAATGTACTCAAACCTCCAACCTTTCAGTTAGCAGCCTGGCACGTTAACTGGTTGTACCACCCAGGGACTCAATATTCGACTCAAGCAACCTCCCATATTGTCTATGGAAACCCTTAGGAATTTTAAATTGAGAACCTGTGGTCTAAAACACTGAACGCCAGCCTTATTTCTCCCACCCTAGCCTTACTTATGGTCACCAGGACTTGCATGACATTCTCAGAGTCTCAAAATGTAACTAATTTGAATTCTCTTAAACTCAAATTATATGTGTCATAATACTTTTACAGAATAAAAAAATGGGGAGAAGAGAAAATGGCAACTTAAAAAATTTGGGGAGCCACTTTAGAGAAAATTCCAAACTTAATTTTTTGGAGGAATGCCTAAAAGTTTGCCTTCGAGACCCTAATAGTTGAAATTCCTATGATAGTTTTCCTTTTAATGGATGATGTCCAAGATAAGAAACTTGATTTCTATACTTAGAGGAAAGTTCACGTACCTTTTTAAAAAGCTTTTGGGAGTGTAGTTGCCATCTTAAGAAAATCTCAAAAAATGCCATAATGGCCAAGGTTTTAACAAAAATTAGAGCATTTTAAAGTAACATAGTATATTAGAAAATGATAATTTTTTTGAAAGCTTTAAATGTAACTTTTTTTGTTCAGTGCTTAGAGTTCTATTGCTAATGTAGGAATGGCAAACTGAAGAAATTGATGAGGATAAGAACAAGGCACACATCTGAGCACAACAGCAGCTACCCTTCCAGGTCTTGCTGCTTTCAACAGCTTCTCACCAGCTTTGGGATTCTCGTCTTAAAGCCCAAGAGACTACCCTTCTTTCCAAAAAATTGTTTGCGAATAGAGAGTTACAGTATTTCATGAAAGATAGCATACTTAAAAAAAGGAGAAGAGGATACTTCATTTACAAATTGCAGCCTTGTGGTCAGGCAGACCTTCCCAGCCTTCTCAAGTGTAAGGTCCTTTTTTTTTTAGCTTTTAAAAAACGTTTGTGAAACCTCACGCACTAGTAGATATACTTTTACTGTCCATTGGTTGATCAATAGATAGCTACCAAATGCTATTGTGAATTCAGTAGTAATTTGTGTTTCATGAATCCCAACAGCATCTGCATGCTTGTGAAAAGCAGGAATATATGTAAGTGTGAAACATTTACCAGTACTCAAGCAATGCTTCCTACCCATCAGGATGTGTAGACTCCTTTCAGTAACACTGTGACCTTGACCTGGGTCTGCTCATTGAGAAAACTGGCTCAGAGTGGAAAGGCCCTGAAATAATCTTCCCGACAGTTCTCAACCACAGTTAAATGACACAATTGGTTGTCTCAGTCAGTTTATAACAATGATTAAAATTTACAAATAGTTTTTTAATAAATTGGATTCAAGGTTATTCCTTTAATAGCTCATATTATATTTCAGTGAGTAGGAAGGAAAAGGAATGGTGTTAGGCAGATAGAGAATTTCTCATTCGTTCATTCTGCGGTTATTTATTGAGCTCTTAATGTGGGCATGGACTTTGTGTAGTGCCTTCCAACCTAGGGGACTCCTCTTCCAGCACTATATCGGACAGTATTCTCTTGTGATGCATAGGATTTTCATTAACTAATTTTAGGAAGCAGATAACCAGGCCTTTCTTTCTAGTCTATTAGTCTGGAAGCTCTGCTGAAACCTTGCCACCATGGGGGACCCTGCTGGTATTTGAAATACTGGTGTCATAGCTTCCAGCATCGTAGCAACACATAAACCACCACAGTACAACAAACTGACAGACGGGTGCTGGATGTCCACACATATATGTATATAATTAATATCCACGGCCCACTTAGACATGCAGATATACCAAGATGAAAAAGCCCAGTTTTACCCAGAAGAGCTCTAGGTGAATAGGTGGGATGGAGTGGTTTTTGAAGTGAAGAGGAGAGTAGATAGGTGGGAATGATGGAGGTCAAAGAGAGAAAGTTGGGATGCCTGGCACGGGGAAGTTAGCAAGTGATCTTTTAGTTTCTCTTCTCACAAATTAAAACTTGGCCAGCTTCCACTATTTTTACTACTTGAGGAAATAACTGTAGAGTAAAAATTCCATGATCTTTGACTGTTGAGTCATGAACCATTGTGAATCAAAATACCTCCTCTGTAATCAGTTTACTGTTTAATAAGCAATATTTCTACTTCATACTTAGCATATGGCAACCTTGAAGTATAGGTCCCAAAGTCCTCCTCCCTTTACTGCTCCCTGACACACTCATTCAAAGTGTGGAATTCAAGGGCAGGGAGGTGCTCAGATTCTACAGCTGTCTTCTTTCTGAATTTCCGTCTGGTCCTTACAGTGCCTGCCTCCAGCTGTCCTGCTGACTCAGAATTCACACCATCCCTACGACTAGGTCAAATCTGCCATTGATTTCACACCACCCTTTTTTTTTTTTTTCTCTTCCCTATACTTACTCTCTTATCTATCTTGTCCCCTGTGTCTTCAAGTTTTTTTTTCAGTACCAGTAGGCAGGGTGATAGAATGGGAAGAATGTGGGCTTTGGTAACAAACAGAGCAGGACTAAAATCCTGGCTTCCCTACATCTTGTGATATCTTGGTTACGTTATTTAACTTCTCTCAGCCTCGGTTTTTTCCTCTCTGGAATAAGAATAATACTTTCCTGCAAGTATTAATGGGTTTTAATTTTTAGAGAATCTGCTTCTCAGAATTTATACCAGAGAAATAAAAGCAAGTCTATCCAAAGACTTGTATATGAATGTTCAGAGTGGCTTTATTTATAATACCCAAACTGGAAGCAACCCAAAAGTCTGTCAGCATTTCAGTGCATAAACAGATTGTGGTATATCCATAGAGTGGAACACTACTCACCAATAAAAAGGAATGAACTGCTGATAAAGGTAGCAACATGGATAAAATTCAAAAACAGTAGGCAAAACTACTCTATAGTGACAGAAAGCAGATTAGTGGTTGCTGGGAGCTGGGGCTGTGTGTCAGGGCCGGGGGGTGGGGTGCGGAGGGAGGGAAGAATTGACTGCAGAGGGGCACAATTTGAAGGAACTTGGTTTTATTTTTCTTTTTTCAGGTTTATTGAAGTATGCTTTATATACAGTAAAAGTCATCCTTTTTTGGTGTGCAGTACATCATCCAAATCTAGTTAATCAATTCCTGTTGATACCACTGCCTAATTAACTTTCAAAATGATTTTTCATTTATTCCTAATGTCCTGTTTTCAGGTCCTCCACATTTCCAAGTATTCTTATACTTTGTTTATCTTACTCCTTTCCAATTTATCTTCCCCACTTTCTAAAATACAGAGCTGATCATTTTATTCCCCTATTTAAAATCCCTTTAAGGGCCCACATTACTTTTGGCAAAAATGCAAACATATTAGCATAATGTAGTAGTTTCTTCAGATTCTGCCCCTTGCTACCTCTCCCAGCCCCATCTCCAAGTCCTCAGCTTGGAGTCTTTGTTCAGTCATGTCCAGCCACTTGTTGTTGTTGTTAACTGCTGTCAAGTTCGCCCCTGACTCATGGTGACCCCATGCACAACAGAATGAAACACTGCCTGGTCCTATGCCATCCCCATGATCAGTTGCAGATAGGACTGTTGTGATCATAGGATTTCCACTGGCTGATTTTCAGAAGTAGATTGCCAGGCCTTTCTTCCTAGTCTGTATTCATCTGGAAGCTGCAGTGAAACCTGTTCAGCATGACAGCAACACGCAGGCCTGCACTGGCAGATGGGTGGTGGCTGTACATGAAGTGCATTGGCTGGGAGTTGAACCCAGGTCTCCCGCATGGAAAGTGAGAATTCTATCACTGAACCACCAATGCCGCACTCCAGTCACTTAACTACCTGGAATTCTCAGAGCATACTGTGTGCCTCTTTCTCGTCTCTGTGCTTTTGCACATCCTCTCCTTTTTACTTGGGACTGATACCATTCCTCATCTCCCCATCCTTTTCCTCATTGCCTGGCTGATTCCATGTTGTCCTTCAGGACTCGATTCAGACCTCCCTTCAGCTGGGAAACATTCCCTGATACAGTCCCTCCCCAGGCTAGGCTTTGTGCCTTTCTTACTTTCCCCTGTGTTCTCATGGTATTCGCTGCTCTTCTCTACCATAGTAGTTATTTCCCTATATTGTAATAACACAGAAAGTATTCATTGATGATTTATGGAATAACCTAACAAGTTTCAGGTCTGAAAATCTGTTTGAATTCATAGACTAATGAGCCGTATTATAGTAACCTTCTACTGTGTTCTTATAGGTGAAGATGCTGGAAGCAGATCTAGTTTCAAAGATGCTGCGGGCTGTTCTGCAGTCTCATAAGAACGGAATAGCACTACCCCGGCTCCAAGGAGAGTACAGATCCTTGACAGGAGACTGGATCCCGTTCAAGCAGCTAGGTTACCCTACACTAGAAGCCTATCTGAGAAGTGTGCCAGCAGTTGTCAGGATAGAGACTAGTAGATCTGGCGAGGTAAGAAGGGAGTTTTGCATGTCAGATGGCTCAAACCCATTCTTAATTGCCTGTCCAGCATGTCTTACTTCATAACTAGAATAGAAGTCAAACTGAAAAGTACTGGCTGAATGGTTTGAGATCAGCAGTGATGGCACAGCATCCAAAGCACAGCCTGGATCTCTGATGTCTTTTGTTTTACCCCACAGATTCTTTTCATTGTAAAAATAGGTTTTAAACCACATTAAATAAAAAATTTTAAAGTTGAAATTTACCCAGTCTCAGCATTCAAACAAAATAGCTGTGCTGGAGGCCTTAACTGCCCAAATGCCACACCCACCTGCTTACAAACCTGTTACCACTGTTATTGCCAAGGTCACTAATGAGTACCAAATCTAACAGGCACTCTGAAATTCTCAGCATTTGACCTCATCCGTATGTATCCTATCTGGATCCTAGTTCAACCCCTAACTGATCATTCCTCACTTCATTATTGCAAGGGCCTCCCTTCCGTTCCCGTCTTTAGTCCCTTCCCTCTCTAGCCTGGTCTCTCCTTCACACCAGTATGATCATATTATTCAACAATTTTAAATCCTTCAGTTTCTCTGGATGAAACTACTTTATATATAATATAGGCAGTTTGGTGGTAGCAGGTGGATCTTTTATTGCACATACTCTGAGCCAGCAGTTTCGTTTCTTGGTATTTGCTCAGTGTGCAGTATGATAGAATGTGGACAAACCACCACCCGAAAGAAAAATAAACACACGCCTACCCCAAATAACAGCATTTTTTCTGGGTACATTTCTATGTATGTAGGTACGTAGAATAGGTCTGGAGTATTTCTCACCAAAACTGGTAATAGAGGTTTCTCTGTGGTGGGAGGGAAGGGTGGAGGAGGGAAAAAGAAACCAGGATCAGGAGAATTGTCAAAGGGGAGGTTAGCCCTATCTGTAATGGTTTTTATGAGGAGAAGGTATACACTGATGTAATTAATTAAATATTGTATTAGTAATAAAATTGCTGCAGTATCAGAGAATCTCCTTCACTGACCCTCCCAGATGGAACCCCTCCTTTCTCTCTTCTTGGCACCTTGTAATACAGCCACTGTAAGACTCAGCAGTGTTTTATATTTAGTCTCTTTGCCTCTCTCTTTTGCCTTTCTAAGTTTTTTGAGGATGAGAGACTATTTTTTTACCCTAATAGTTGGTAGTTAATAAATGTGGTGAACGCATGAATATTCAAATGTCTGAATGAATAAATAAGTTAATGATGGATCAGAGAGAGCCTAGCTGTGTGACCTGGGAAGGCTGCTCAGCTTTGCCTCTGCTTTCCCATATGTAAAATGGGAATAAAATATATCTCACAGATTATATGGGGTAGTGTATGCAGAACACTTAGTATTCCATGAATTATGCTTGAAATGAAAAACAGATTTCTTCTGATTCGCTTGTTAATCCCATAGTACCCAGCACGTTGTAGATACTTAACAAATACTTGTTTAAGGAATGAATGAAAATTTTAATTTCAGGAAAGAAGATTATTAAATGTAATCTAGATTATGCTTGATTCAACTCTGGTAGAAAAGGTAAGTTTGCTGTAACATTATCAAGGAGAGAGATATGTGAAGATTTGTATACAGCTTGATTTGGGACAGGTATGCTCACTGAGATCCATTTTTTAAAATTGACCTCTGGGCAGCAATGAACTAAGAAATGTCTCTCCCCTCACCCTGCCTGTCATGAACAGATAACCTGCTATGCTGTGGCATGCACAGAAACTGCAAGAATTGCCCAACTTGTGGCTCGCCAGAGGAGTTCTAAAAGGAAAGCGGGGCGGCAAGTTAATTGCCAAATGAGAGTGAAGAAAACCATGCCATTTTTTCTAGAAGGTGAGGATTTCTTTCCTGCTAAAATCTTCAAGCCTGCCTGTGAATACCTTGTTATAAGGAATTATGGAAATGTTACTTGTATTCATGATAAACATCTTGTATGTGTTAACATTCATATGTCGAGAAAAATCTGAAAGCTAGTATTTCATTTGAAATTATTAAGTGAACGTGATGAACATGAATTACCAAATGAAGTAATTACTCATCATGAAATAACTTGGAGCAGATTTTAATGAAACTTACTATAACAAAGTGTGGTTTATTCTCTTAGGTTGTTTGGGGGAAAGCCTCATCTAGAATGTTGGACTAACCAAGAACTTATGATTTAGTGTCATCTTTAGCAAATCATGTCTTTTAGTACAAAACCTCTATTTTCAGAAAACTGTGAATTACATAGTACACATAACTGTTATAGGCAACTCAGCCTGTGTTTCTTGAGCACTTAAATTCTCAAGATACAGCTCAATGATGATACAAAACAGTAGAGGACTGAATACCACAATGAGCATTTTAGACAAGACAGTGATTGCTGTGAATGAGAATGGCAGTGAAAGGCTTCATGGCAAAGGGGAGAATTGAGCCTAGATCTCAAAAGATGAGTAGAATCTGGATTGACAGAGAAGACATGGGAGAGCCGAAGTATGGCTGAGTGTGATGGATTGGAAAGGACGGGGTGGCAGCCACCGAATTGTTAAATTGATGAGTAGAAGGAAAGTAACTGGTTAGTCTAGCAGATGGTGACACATTTTAAGGAACATCATCTGCTGAATACTTGCCAATCTTCTTTTCCCCTAGTGACTCACCCTCCAGTGGCAACCTCCTCATGTCCTTACAAACTGTTCTGAGATAGAGACCTGCTGAAAACGTCTGGTCAGGGGAGTCACATAATAAAACTAGGGTTTTGAAAAGCTAATTGATTCTATTATGTATGCCTAACTTCATAGGAAAACCAAAAGCAACCCTCAGACAACCAGGATTTTCTTCAGATTTTTCTATCAAGAAGCCTCCTCCAGCACTGTTAAGAGATAAAGGCAACTCTCTTGGAGTTAAGTCTGGTGCTGAAATGCCACCTTACACAATACACACAACTCTTGGAAGTGAAGTATTCAAAAATGTTCCCACGCAGAGACACGTGACCTTGTCTACCAACAGCAGGTATTTAGTCTTGGGCTAAAAAGAGAAGTTTGGTGAACCTAGGATAATAAATGTTAAAATTGTATGTTCAGGGTAAGAGAGAATTGCTTTCTGTTGTGTCTACTATAAGTTCACACGAAGCAGAGGAACGCATCGTTACTAGTAAGTCCGCTTTTCCTAGCTGCGTGAACATCATTCTCTGGGTGTATCTGCATTCTGTTTTTTCTCTGCGTCGTTGATAATCACTTCTTGTAAAATTCATTTTAAAAACTCACACAGTTGTTTTGAGATTATATTTTAGCATTACTTACAACTTTTTCTGAAAATGTTTTTAAGTCAGTAAAATCTGATTGAGTTGCATACTCCACTGTGCTCCAGGAATCCGTAATTACACGGTAGCATCGTACATCCATGCATCAGAATACTGGGCTGGCATAAGAAGATAACCTAAAAGTGTGAGTTTTGATGCTGCCATTCACTAACCAGGTTAAACAGTTAAAGTATTTAATCTTTTGGAACTGTTGTTTCCTCACTTGTCCAATGAAAATGTTAAACTATATGATCTAAAAGTTTCATGATTTTTATAAGGTGGCTCAGGAGCAGACATGCTATGACCTGTGGGCCAAATCCAGCTCACTTCTTGTTTTTGTAAATAAAATTTCATTGGAACACGTACATGCCCCTTCATTTACGTACTGACTGTGGCTGCTTTCAGGCTACAACTATAGGCTTGAGTAGTTGCAGCAGAGACTGTATGGCCTATGAAGCCTAAAATATGGTGGTTGTGACTAAAAAGGGATAATAAGAGAGAGCCTTGTAGTGATGGGATAGTTCTGTATGTTGATTGTAGTGGTAGTTACAGGAATCTATACACGTGATAAAATTACACAGAACTACAGAGACACACACTGATAAATGAGTATATGTAAAACTGGTGAAATCTGAATAAGCTCTGTGGTTTCAATTTCCTGGTTTTGATATTGTACTGTGCAAGATGTTACCAATGGGAACTGGGTGAAGGGTACACAGGACTTCTGTTTATTTTTTGCAACTTTCCATGAATCTATAATTATTTAAAAATAAACAAATTTAAAAAAATGACAGCAAAAGCCTGATATATGGTTTTAGTTTTAAGGGTTTGTAGAACCATGTACCTAGCTGCCTACAGCTATTAAAATGCTCTCATATGGACTATGCTACAGACTATTTTAATTATAGATTAAGATGTTGTAAACCATATTTGTCAAATCTTTTTTTTTTTTTTTTTTTTAAAGAACCTAATACAAATAGAAAGAAAACCTTTAGAGAAATCTCAGTACCACCTAGTGACACATGTTATGGGCAATCTTTTTGTTTTTAAAATGAAAAAAGTTACTCTTACCAAAATACAATAATAGCAGAAGTTTTTTTTTGTTTTGTTTTTAATTTCTACCTGTGAAAGATGAATGTAGTGAAAACAGTTAAATCTGTTGTGACAGGTACTTAAACTTAAGGTCACCAAACCTTTTGAAAAGCTGATTAAGGCTGTAAATGCTTTTCCCAGAAAAAAAAACAAAAAACATGCATGCACGTGTACATATATCTTTGAACATATACATCCATCTTTGTACACCAATTCAGGAGATTGGAGGGCCCTGAAACCCATTATTGAGAACTCCAATTAAGAACTCATGCTTGCCACTCAATGAACTGGAGAGTTCTAGAAAATAACATATCTGATATTCTCTGTTGTAAATTTGACTCTAAGTTTACTATGTGTCTTCTCCAGTAAAATAGAAAGAGAGGGGATAGGAGTGTGAATATGTGATTGATTTGTAGTTTCTCTGGTATATATGAGGGAAGACCAAAACAAAAAACGAAACCCATTGCCATCAAGTTGATTTCGACTTACAGGACCCTATAGGACAGAGTAGAACTGCCACATAGGGTTTTCAAGGTAAATCTTTACAGAAGCACACTGCCACATCTTTCTCCTGTGGAGCGGCTCTGGGTTTGAACCGACGACCTTTTGGTTAGCCGCCGAGCGCTTTAACCACTGCACCACCAGCCTCCTCATATGAGGGAAGGAAATGTTTGTCTCTAAAACAATACAATTTGTGATCATTGTATTTTGTTAAAGTGACATTATGCCTAAAACTTAAATGTGTATGGTGCTGAAGGCTGAGGTTTCCATTAGGTTAGAGAGGAGAGATTGCTGTATATATTGTGGTGAGTAAGAGCATGGACTTTGGATAGCAATAAATGACTGTCACTAACCAATAGGCACATGATTGAAAAGTTATCTTTGAAGTATTAAGCTAAAGTAAATGAATGTAAATTTATTGTTTATTTCTGACCACTTGAATCTTCATAACTTATTTACTAAATATTTGTAGAAAGCATTCTAAAAATTACATTTGTTGCATTGTTCTGATTACAAAATTATATATATATGGTGTGGAAAATTTGTAAAGTACAAGAAAGTAAAAAGAAAAAAATCACTAATTCAGACACAATAAAAACTTTCTATTTTTTTATTTATGTGTGTATAAGTTTTTTAAAATACAGATTGAATCGTGCTATACATTACTGTTATAACTTGTGAACATTTTCCATATTATTAAATACACTTCTATATTATAATTTTTAATGTCAGGGTATTCCATTTTTCAGTGTCTCCTATTGTTAAATATAAATGATGTCCACTATTATAAATCTACAATAAACATATTTATAGAAAAATCTTTGAATATATTCATGACTAGTTCCTTAGAATAAATTGGTAGAAATAGAATTTCTGGGTAAAAAGGTATACACATTAAGGCTATTATTACTAATTTGCGTACCAAACAGGTTATACCAATTCATATTCTTATAAAAGTGAATGGGAGTGGTTATTTCTTATATCCCTGCCAACACTGGGCTTCTGTTTTTAGTTTGCTGCTCTGAAAGGTGACAAAATGTACCTGTGCTTTTATTTTCATTTCTTGGATTTTGATTCTTAAGAAAGTTATATATTTCATTATCTACTCATTAGCCCCTTTGTAGGTCTTTTATGAATTACATGTCTCCGTCCTTTGCACAATTTTTCTATTGGCTTTTTCTTCCTAACTTGTAAAAGTGATTTATAAATTAAGGACATTAACCCTTTGTCTGTAACATGTTGACAGTATTTTCACAGTTTATTTATTTATGGTATGTTTGGTGTATAGAAACTTTAAAAACATCTATCAGTCTCTCCCTTTGTTGCTTCTGCCTTTGGGTATTTTGCTTAGAAAAGCGTTTCCATCCCAGTATTATGTAATATGTCTTCTGTTTTCCTTTAGGATTTTTATGGTTTCATTTTTACTTTTAAATCTTGAATTCATCCAGAATTTATTTTGCTATATAATGTGAGTAGGATCTTTTTTTTTTTTCCTTGTTAGCCAAATGTCCTAAAATTAGTTATTGCATAGTCCTTTCTTTCCCTGTTGGTTTGAAATGCTATCTTTACCAATTCTAAATTCTTATAAATATATGACTCATTTCCTGGGCTCTGTTCGGCATCATTGATTATCTGTTTTATTCTTTTGCAGTGCCAAACTATTAATATTATTTATAGTTTTATAATAAATGCTAATAATTTCTCTCTACTCTCTACTTCCTCCTCTCTCCATCTCCTAATTTGGTTTGTTGCTTCTGTTGCATGCTTTTATTACACTTGTTGCCCCATCATAGCAGTTAGTAGACTTTGTTCTTAGATTTGTCGGTACATTAATTATCTATTGCTCTGTAACAGATTACCATAAATTTAGCACTTTAAACTAACACATTAATTATGTCGAAGTGTCTGTGAGTCAGGAATCCAATTGGATCCTCTGCTTCACAGTCCCTGACGAGGTTTGAATCAAGGTGTCAGCTATGGCTAGGGTCTTACTGAATGCTCAACTAAAGATGGATCTGCTTCCAAGCTCACTCACATGATTGGTAGCACAGCTGAGTTCCTTTTAGGTTGTTCCTTAGGTCCTAGCTGGCTGTTGGCCAAAAGCCACTTTCAGATCCTTGCTACATAGGCCTCCCCAACACTTTGATTTGCTTTCTCAAAGCCAGCAAGGGAGACATTATTCTAGCAAGATGGAAATTAGAATCTTTTGTAATCTCATGAGTTGTAATCCTCTCAACCTTGAAGTATTCTATTGGTTAAAAACAAATTACTGAAGGAAATCAAACTACACAAGGCATTGAATACCAGGAGGCAGGAATCATTGGGGACTATCTTACTAGCTGCTTACCACAGTGAGTTTTCTCAACTGTACTGTATAGTGCATGAGAATAGGGACATGTCACTTCTTTTTTTTTTTTTT